TGGGGCGACAATGCGACAACGAGACATATTTTGACCTTGAAAATGTCGCGTTACGGCATCGTCGCCCTTTTGTAAAATAAAGAAAAGGATTATCAAAGAGCGACAATGCGAACACGCGACAATGCGACAAATGGCTAATTGTCGCGCTTTTGTTAATTTTGACACGTTTTGCTTGTTTTTGTAAAGGCGCCAATGCGACAATGCGACAACGAGGCAATGTCCCTTCCATAGTAATCCGTGCAAATAAAACTGAGTAATGAAATAGAAGTCTGACATGCCAGTTAAAAGATAGAGTGTTGCAGCTTCTGATTTCATAGATCTTCAAGAAGGGCTATCAATAATGGGATGGGTGATGAGTTCAACTGCATACGCTGTGATTAACAATAATGCTCCGAGTCGATACATTTTGTCAAATGTATGACATGTATTACGTGAATGAACATATTGTTTATACTCGTCCATGTTTTTGACGGACAAAATAATTTACATGCTCGGTTAAACTGAGGACGGGCATTATTGTGTGTTTCCGTGCTTTGTTCAGGTGAACAATTGACTTGTCCTTGCATGTGTTTGTGACGGGTGCCACTTGTGTGGCAGGATACACTGACCTTTTCCCGAACACCCATTGGATGACCTGAACCACTTCGGATTTTCATCCCACATCAGTCTGATACACCATGATATAACTGAAATACTGAAATACTGTACAGTTGAAAATGATGTTTAATGCGATTACCGTAGTGTGTTACTGCAACTGTTCATATTTTGTGCAGTGATGTTATGTAATATGTAAAAGAAAGCATATTCAATTATCCAATTGATTTGAATAGAATATACTTGCGTCAGTGTATTTTATTAACGCCCCAAATCGTAATTTAAACACATAAAATAACAGATCACGCATGGTGCCTTGACTTACTACTAGATTTAATGGGCCACCACGAAATAAAATAGTTCCCCCCCCCCCCCCCCCCCCAAAGCGAGGAACATATGTTTTAGTATGTTTACAAGAAATATATTCCAAACAATATCCTCATTAAATGAGAAGAAATTTACAGAATTACCTCAGTAAGTCAATTACAATGACAGAGCGTCGTAATACATTTTACATCAAGTACAATACGTCAAAATGGCCGACACGATAAACGTGACGGGAGATATTTTCGAAGTTGTTAATTAACCTGTGGCTATTTCAAGCCTTTGGCATCACTGATCAATTGGCCGATCATTGAAAGGTGATTGTGAAGATGTGTCAAATAGATACTAAGGTAAATTCATAGATTTCTGTAAATTGTCACTGCGACCGTTTGGATTTTTTTTCGTGTTTTTTTTCTCTCTGGGATGGGTTGTAGCGACGGTATCCTTAAATGGGCTTGCAACCACGCTTCTGTATGAATTCGTACCAGGGAATTCCAAGGGTTTTCCCCAGGAATGTGGAAGTAGTCAGTGTTTACGCCTTTTCAAGAATACAGTCACGTGAAGAACGTCATGTGACCGACCTCGCGTCCAAGTCGTATATCTTGTAAACTTCACATTAAAAAATTAGTTATTGTTATAACCAAATGAAACACAACCCATTATCCGATAGGGGTAACTGTACATAGCCGTTACCACAATAAACTTAGTAACATTGTTTGGTTTGACTTCTTGGCGCGTGTATGAATTCCATTAACATGTAACATATCCTAAAACTAGCTTATCAGCAAATCTCGCTGCACTGCGTGCGACAGATACCAGAGCAAGGCATGCCAGAAATACGAAACCTAAAGCTTCCGAAAGGAAGCCTTGGACATCACGTGCGTCGGGGGACCAGCGCCATCTGATTGGTCGTTAACAGTTGTACAAGGCGGAGCAAAAAGCATCGTTTTTCCGTCCATTTTACGCTTGAAAAACTCGACCCTTTTCTGGACACTTTCTAGACGCTGACCAATTAATCAATTTTAATGAATTTTTAGTCGTTTTTCCGTCCAATGACCATATACGAAAAAAAACGACGTATTCGTGTTTGCAGTGATATATCGCCCAGTTAAAGACCTATGTCAATGTTTAAGATGATAACATCATATTCCTTTAATTTTCAGGATTTCAGACGGAAGTCTTGTTAGATAATCAAAATACATTATTTACATTTTGCAGGCAGGACGTAAAATGTAGAATATTGAGTTGTAAGACACGGCAATATGTTTGTTTTACCTTAGAGTCAACTGACATCTGATTTAGATTAGAACACGTATCTTCACACAGATGGATTGTACTTTCCAGGAAAGGGGAAGTAAAATTAGACATTTCTGTCCTGTATATTATTTCCCCAAACATTAACATTGTCGTTTTCCTCTGTTGTGAAAGTTGCATCAGTGCGAGATTCAGAATGGGGGGACATCTTGGTTGCCACCATTTCACCTACACTCCAATATGCCTACACTATATATTATGAAAACAACTTAACACTCAACTGAGCATAGCCCGAGACTGAGTTAGGTGCACATCATGAGGCTCTGGGGAAGCTAAAACATCATGACCAAAAGGGCCGGAATAAAAATCACAGTTCAGTTCATACCCCCGTGGCCAAACACAACGTGAGGCGTGAGTTCCAGGCCATCTTGTGTTCATCCTGTGTCCTTTCCTGTATCCTGTTTGCATGCACTGCACCATCTGTGTTTTTGATCCACTATACGTGATGTGCAGTTGATAAGTTGAAGCTTAACCTACTTACAGTTTGTGAGTGTGTATGATAAACCTGTCTTGTATGTCACGACCTCCGCCGACTATGGCCGCACAAAGGTATAGTATGACGAAACGAAGCACTGAAACACAGGAAAAATAGGGCAAGAATCATATTCTTTCACGTTCACTTCAAGCGTCACGAAAAATAGAATTACATGTTTATATCATTATGTAGCCAGTATGATATCCACTATGATGGCCGAAACAGACAGTGCGAAGACGTAGACCTAGCGCTGTTGCGCTTAAGTAAAAATATAAATTTTGATGTCTGTATTTGTAACAACCCAAACGAAAAATAAAAGTGCTAATTAGGAGGTTTAGTTAAATTAGCACAGTTGGCTAGGTATGGAAGTTGTTTTGGGTATTGCCACCAGCCGGGTGCAGAGTAGAGGCGATCGTTTCGTTTTGGGGAGACCTGTGTCGTACATATAATACCAGAGTGGATTCCATGAATGTTAAGGATATGGCTAGCGGTTGTGCGTCAAGTAACATTCAACATTGTAAGATAATTTCCTTTTCACTTTTAGGGTGCAGGTTCCACTCAGCCATATGTGTATGGTATAATATCATACTATTTCAAGTCTGCAACATGATATTGTGCGAAACTAAACTGAACAAAACAAAATAATCTGTGTTTTGGTATCACTTGATATCCATGTGTCGTAGATGGCGATCATTCTGATTATTTTCCTCACTGTTTTCGGTCACAGCAGCAAGGTGTGATCAGGATCGCGTAAATAAATGAGTAGTAGAAGTAAGTACGATCGACGATTCATCTTTTTATACACAGATTATCGAATATCTTAAAAACAGAAATGTCCCATAACAAAAGTATCGAAAGTATTGAAATGCGGACAATAAATGCAATTGAAGAATCAGTTACCTAAACGTACTGTCGTTCAGTGTCGTCATGGTCAATGTAAGCCATGACTGGTCACGAGAGGGTCATCTTAGTCAAGGACTGACAGTTACACATAATTGTCCTCATCAGCATTCATTAACAGAACATTAACAGAACACAAGGTTCTTTCCGTAGATAAGTTTAGCAAGCGTCACACAGTGGGTAAACAGAGTGATGGTGATGTGTCTACTGCAAAGCCCTACGTTACTTCGTATAGCAACAAAGCATAGACATCACGATATATTATTCAATTATTAATACACACTTTGTGTCTACTGCAAAGCCCTACGTTACTTCGTATAGCCACAACGCATAGACATCGCGATATATTATTCAATTATTAATATAATTATTAATTATATTAATCTCAAATGCCGCTGTCTATGGCCAAAATAAAAAAAAGTTCACAAAACTCTGGTCCTATCGAATACACTGGCTCTTTTCCGGTCGTGAAAATTCATGTCCTGATTGGTAAGGTGTTTGTTCCAAACGCTGTCCACTTTGTGCGAGGTCACAACAAATTCAATGACTGAATATAAGGCCTTGGTCCTGGGATGGGCATCCAGATGAAATGCTCGGCATAGTGAGAGAGTACACATTGTACTCCTGATGTATTCACAGCTTTGAGATTGGGGTAATTAACATCGTTTGGAGATGTGGAGGTCTGCAGTGCAGGCAGAGAATGATATCCACTCATGGCTTGCCTTATGTTCAGCGCCAGAGCTCATGGGACAGCGTACGTCAGCGTAGCCAATTGATCGATTTGGTGTGGACCAGACGACAGCAGGGAAAGTACCCGACTCTCCTCCCAACAGAATGGGGTCCGGCCATTAATCTACAACAATCTAACATAAGAGTGTTACACCACTACGAACGTGTGAGTGGTACAATACGAAGTGGGCAAATCATAAATACATCCGAATAAACAATTGTATGTGATACAGTGTGTGGCAGTGATCAATGCTAATGGTGGTCACACCAGGTATTGACTGACATTTTGTGTATTGACCCGAAACTGTGTAAGCTCTTAACATTTGAAAAAAACAATTATGCCATCTGCCTTTTAATCCATTAAACTGTCTTCAGTCATTTTTTTTGTCAATCGTGCCCTATTAGTATTTCTTGTCTTTACTGTTGAAAATAAATAACATGTATACTGCATACTCGAGTATATATACCTATATGCACAAATGTATCTTCCTACCACTTCAGTAAGAAGGATAAGAATAAAAGTGTTAATATAAAAACACCTAGACATTTGGTAGCTCTAAAGTACGTGCATACAGATAGTTACTTTAACTTGAACATAAGTCAAAAACACGATAAAGGTTTGACCGATACAAACATCTGTTGTGTAGCATACAATGACATCATACTGAAGTGAGATAAGGACATTCTTTTGGTGGTGGTCGTGTTTGACGAAGTGAGAGGATGTTGCTGTATATTTTGCTGCTACTACTTCACACAAAATGTATTGAAGGTACATCGGAATCATGTAAGTAATAAGGTTCCGAATATAATTACCTTTTTTTATTTGTACAAAAACATGTATACACGCATATGTGGAATATGTTCTGTTCACTTAGCGTATATGCCATACGTTATGTAAAATACATAGTGCATGTACATGCGGTTAGTGGCATATAGCAAGGAGCAGGTTATAGATTGTTCAGTGTTTCTGGAAAGAGTATTTTACAAAAATGACGTGAATTCATATTGACGAAAGAAAAGCGTGCAGTAATAACTGTGATTTGGTTGGTTGGTTGGTTGTTTAACGCCGCACTAAGCAATATTCCAGCTATATGGCGGCGGTCTGTAAATAATCGAGTCTGGACCAGACAATCCAGTGATTAATATCATGATCATCGATCCATGCAATTTGGATCGATGACATGCATCAACCAAGTCAGCGAGCCTTGACCACCCGATCCCGTTAGTCGCCTTTTACGACAAGCATAGTCGCCTTTTACGGCAAGCATGGGTTGCTGAAGAAGCTGAAGTTTGCTATTCTACCCCGGATCATAACTGTGAAGCATGTTCATACTAACAGTAGATTGTAACATTCCACTTCTTGGGACCTCATAATATTATATTCATAATTGTAATGTATACGCAAGATGAAGTACACGTTGCAATTGTCGACTTTATTTTATTGATTGGGGAACATTAAAAAATACAATCACGAAGACGTCAATGATTTAAAAGAGGAACCGTAAATATTTTCATTTGTCCTTGGGAATCTTTATATAGTACTTTCTTACAGTGATAAAGTAATAATTTACAATGCAGACATAAATATTCCATCAACGGGACATATAATTCCCGTTGACATCTGTGTAAGCAAAAATGTGCTTCGCATAATTATGAAATATAGACATATCAAAGGTCTAAGTCTTTCACCATCGGCAAATTATTGGCGAGCTAAATATCCAGTCCAAGAATATCCACGGGCATCGGATTTAGAGGACTAGAGTGAGTGAGTGAGTGAGTCTGGTTTAACGCCGCTTTTAACAGTATTCCAGTCATATTACGGCGTGTCAGCTTCATGTGGGAGGAATGCCCGAAGTGATGCAGGTCTCAGACGTTTACCACTTCGGTAAAACCCACGAACACTGGTATATGGTGCTGACAAACCTAGAAACATAATCGGGGCGAACCGGGATTCGAACCCACAATCATAGGTTTCTGGCGTGCTTAAGGGACGCAACTCTGTACAGCAAATCGCGGCGCCTTAGACGACTGGGACTAAGGGATAGTTTAAAGAGAAACGTTATAATCAGTTGGTATACAAACTGCAGGGAATGGTGCTTAGATAACTAGAGACACGATGAAAAATTGAAATAGGTATGTGCCTATTGAACAAATTCTTAAATGAATATATTATTAAAAAAAACCCAGGGAACTTATCATTATTATGTGTCTATGAATCACTATCAAATTGTGATGATACCAAGTGTTCGCGAAAAAGGTGAGGGCATCCTGCTTTACTGGTGGCACCAGTCACACACGCAAAGGCAAAAACATAACTTCGCTTCATAGACTGATGCAAGGAACGAATTGCCATATGCTCAGAATGTATCCAATTTGCATTTTTGGGTGAGGGTAACATTTTAACCAGATCAGGCCATCCTACATGTATTTGAAAAGACAAAGCTAAATTGTGGTATGGTGATAGGGAACTATCAGGATTGTTGTCACAATGACAGTGCAGAACAACACCATTTAAGCCATATCAGCGTAATATCAGAGAATGAATGTTTAGATTGACATTGGTCACAATATACATTTTTGATATGCTTGACTTTCAGGCAACTGCTGCCCAGATGCATGGATCCGGTACGGTAATTCCTGCTACATGTTTGTTGGTACCACGGAGACATGGGTGGAGGCATCTGTGAGTATCAGTATGTCACCCCTAAAAGTTGCATATACACAATATAAATATCCACACATGCACTCCAACAGATTACAGTTTATTGAAATGTGAACTTCATCTTTCAAAGCAGTTAAGAGAGAACATTTAAAGACAAACATATATGTATCAATAACGGAACTCTTTTTTTGTAAACATTGTACATATATATGTTAATACTGGAAACTATAATTAATGAATGTGTGAAGGAGCAGCTGTCAAATGAAAGGCGTTTTATAGTTTTCAAACGAAAATGAAAGACAATTCTTACTTGAAATCCTGTGTATATCTGTGAAATAATGTATACAATGACTACATACTGGCGGCTTTGTTTCTTTTTCATTGATAGAGATGAACATTCTAAAGAACATTTGCAAACTTTCCACATGTGGTTATCTCTGAGTATAATTAAATTCATACCCTGTGCCGTAATGGACTGCTAATCGAGTTCTTTTCCGTGTCATCTGTATACATGATGTTTGTAAAATTCGACTATCTGTACCTAAGGTTACAAATGACGATTCATCAGTAAGTGAACGAAATGCACCCAAATACTTCGTAATTATTATGAAACAATTCCATAATGATATACGAAAAATATTTGACATTTCAAATATTATTACCTCTGAAATAAATAGTGAACATGTTTGAAATTGGCAGGTGCATGTTATGATACAGGCAGGTTGAAGCGACATCTATACTGGGGAAATCATTGTGATTAGTCAGTTAAATGGACCTTGTTATGAACAATGGGAATATTTCTGTATGCAAAAGTAATGTGTGACAATAACAAGCGAACTGCTGAACGCCCCCAATGACTTTAAAGTGATATCTTTCAATGACGGTTGTATTGTGGTATCAGGTTAGTTGTGAAGGAAAACTTGAATGAAACATTTTGATGGCTACTAGCGTATTATAATTGTGTAGTTTCATTTATATTGAATATCAAATGTTGAATATGTACACGATATCAACTCCGTTAATGTTACACTTGAGTTAAATGTTTTGAAATCTTGGTGTCTTTCAGCAACAATGTCTTATGCGTGGATCGGCATTGGCTGCTATTGAGACTGCTGAAGAAAATGCATTCATAACTGGCTATCTGAAGGTGTTTGGCGGTAATAACTAACCTACACATACATTAATGTACACTATATAGTTTACGTTGTTATGACACTTCATATTGGTTAGGTGAGGGACTGACTGCTAATTAAAGTGCAATTCTGTTTGTGCAAGCCATTGTTTCTACATAATACCATAGATTTGTTACATGGTTGGTTCTTACTACATCCGCAGATATTGGTGCCAATATGCAGACGTGGATAGGTGGCAGTGACGTAGAGATAGAGGGAATATGGAAGTGGGCCTCGAGTGGAGAACGTGTGACATACACTAACTGGGCACCCACCGAGCCCGACGAAACTGGAGACTGTATGGTCATATGGCCAGCCGGTGGCTACAACTACAGATGGGCAGATTATCCGTGCCACAGCCTAGCAAAGTTCATCTGCGAAAAAAAGTATGATTTGATGCTGATATTGCACTCATTGAGATTGTTCCTCAAGTACACTACACTATTATCATGGAGCGATGCAATCATTTAGTTCCTAGATTGCCTTTTCAATATCATGGACTCATATATCATGTATTGTCAATTTATAATAGTTCAGGGCGACATATATCGCCAATTTGAAGACTTTATTTTATGGAATAAGATGGTAAAATCATGGTCCTTTAATTTTCAGGATAACAGCCGGAAGTCTTGTTGGATAATCAAAATACATTATTTACATTTTGCAGGAAGGACGTAAAATGTTCAAAAATAAAATTGTAAGACATCATGACCATGTGTTTGTTTTACTTTTGAGTCAACTGACATCTGATTTAGATTAGAACCCGTATCTTCACACAGATGGATTGTACTTTCCAGGAAAGGGGAAGTAAAATGAGACATTCCTATCTTGTATTTTATTACCCCAAACATTAACATTATCGTTTTCCTCTCTTGTTGATTTTCAAAAATATGTACTTAAAGTTGCTTCAGTGCGAGATTCAGAATGGGGGGACATCTTTGTTGCCACCATTTCACCTACACTCCAATATGCCTACACTATGTATTATGAAAACAATTTTACACTCAACTGAGCATGGCCCGAGACTGAGTTAGGTGCACATTGTGATGTTCTGGGGTAGCTACAAAATCACGACCAAATGGGATGGAATAAATACATCATGACCAAAAGGGCCGGAATAAAAATCACAGTTCAGTTCATACCCCCGTGGCCAAACACAACGTGAGGCGGAAGTTCCAGTCCATCTTGTGTTCATCCTTTCCTGTATCCTGTTTGCATGCACTGCACCATCTGTGGCTTTCATCCACTACGTGATGTGCAGTTAATAAGTTGAGTCTTAACTTGCTTACAGTTTGTGATCAACCAGTCTTGACTACTGTCACGACCTACGCCGACTAAGGCCGGACAAAAGTATAGTATGACTATACGAGGCAGTGAAACACAAGACAAATGTGCAAGAATCATATTCTTACACGTTCACTTAAAGTGTCACGAAAAATAGAATTGCATTTATATAGCCAGTATGATGTACACTTTGATGACCAAGACAGACAGTGCGTAAACTTAGCTCCTGCGCTTAATTAAAATATTAATTTTGAGGTATGTATTTGTAACAACCAAAAGAAAATGTAAAAGTGCAAATTAGGACTCGAGGTTTGGCTTAATTAGCACAGTTGGCTAGGTATGGAAGCTGGTTGGCTATTGCCACCAGCCGGGTGCAGAGCAGAGGCGATCGTTTCATTAGTTTTGGGGATGCCTGTGTTGCATATATAATACCAGTGTGGATTCCATGTATGTCAAGGGTATGACTAGTGGCTGTGCGTTGTGTAACATTCATTCAACTTGAAAAATATAACATTGTAAGATAATTTCCTTTTCACTTTTAGGATGCGGGTTCCACTCAGCCATATGTGTATAGTGTAATATAAAATGTTAGCAAGTAACACGGTTTCACAGAGTTATTTCAAGGTTGCAAGATGATATTGTGAGAAACTAAATTAAACAAATAAACCAATCTGTTGTGTCGAGGATGGTGATCATCCTCATTATTTTCATCACTGTTTTCGGTCACAGATAGTTGTCCCCACTGACAAAGCGACGAATAGCATCAGCATTATCCCTACTTTAATTTAAGGCCAGTATATTTACAGAAATATGCCCAAACCATGCATCAGTACTATCACCTTTTGGCTTGACTTTAAAACCTGAAGCATGTTCATTCCTCCTTTGTACTGGATTCAAAAGCAAGGATAGATAAATTGCTGGATACGGCAAATGTACCACCAAATCCCTGGCTCAACGATTAACCATAATTCTTAATACAATCCAGGAAGGACTTTCCCAATTCAGAGAAAGTATTTGAGACTAGTGGAATTAATACCATGTGGATTCCCAAAAAACTCAAAGGATTTGCTGAACTATTTACAATCTCAGAAAAGAACCAGGTTCAATTACATATGTGCTTTTTCAACTCTGTACGCCACTATTCCACATGATAAAAATCTTTTCCTTGATCCATGGAGATTTTGTAAGAAAACGTGATGACCATAGATATAAATGTTGTCGGAATTTCTCCTTGGATTGGCAAAGTCTAAACAAAGCAATTTGGCCAAAAATGTATTTTAAGCTTTATGTACATTGATGATCTGATATCGTTCAATAGCTACCCACCTAAACGAGAAATAAAGGAGAACTGTGAGCCCGCCTCATCTGTTTCATATTTAGATCTATGCATATAGAATCAGTGTGACAAAACACAACCCACAAGATTATATGACAAGAGAGGTGACGTCACCTTTCCAATAGTCAACTTTTCCTTTATGTCGAGCAATATTCCTGCAGCTCCAGCCCTCTGTGTCTACATTACGCATCTTTTGAGATGCAATCGAACATGCTCTTTCAACCAAGATTTCAAAGAGCGTCATACGACTCTTGTTCAGAAGCAGTTTACCCTAAGTTACAACCATACAAGGCCTCAGCAAAGCTTTCAAAATGTTTTATGGTGGACATGTGGACAACATTTCCAAATTTGACGCATCAGTGACAAGAAAGATGTCCGATGTAATTCCCTATTTTGACTTGTTCCATATGTTCCCGAGTTTCAGGTGAGCAGTTGACTTGCCCTTGCATGTGTTTGTGACAGGTGCCACTGGTGGGGCAGGATACGCTCACCTGAACACCTGGTATTATCACTATTTGATAGTTATTCATACTTGCATGCTCATGACAGTCAGTAAAAAAGACGGAAATATTCTAGGCCTTAGAAAAAGTACCACTCTGGTGAAATACATGGTGCTCACAACACACGAAACTTAATGATGGAGAATCTGGAATTTGAAAGCCCGATTGTTGGCTTACTTGACGCCTATGAGAAGCCTTAGGCGACTGGACCACCCATTACGAGAGCGTTATATTTTGGATCAATCGTAATTTCAGTAAACGGTACTTCAACTGCATCACAAATGTCAGCATAATGTTGAGGAATGTTGAAACAAACTGGTCGGTTAAAGTGATTCTGCGAGGACAGAATTATAGGACGGCTTGTGGACGCAATTCTTTCCAACCTTATTGACGTCGCCTCAGAAAACTGAGCTGCCGGTGACAGCAGAATAATACTATGTTTTAACAATAAAAAACCCAAATATATTGAACAATTAGCAAATTCTTATCACAAATAGATAAACATGTACATGCAAGAGCTGAACTGGACAAATAGTCAAATCTGATTTAATGGGGTGAGATTTAAATTACATACGGGGACAATGTGGACGTGTCGCAGCAGTCATCAAAACTATCGAACTACGTTAATGTATGTGCCACGTGACCAAGCAGCCAGAATAATCGAATTAGATAAGCTAGTGTAGATTCTCGTTACATTTGCCACGACAAAATGACGTTGTTCTTCCTATCCCTGATAGTGCTGGTGACCACCACTGTCCAAGGTAATGCAAAGTACAGGTGTGTGGCAGGACATTCCGGATAGATGAACAAGGATTGTGTGTTTACAACTTTCAGTGACCTGAAATTTATCAGCGATATATAATTGTATGTATTTATCTATTTGTTATCTATAAGGTATTATTACTCTCGCTTGACATGGTATCCTGACTGGAATATGTTCTTAAATTGATCATATGTAGGTTCTTTTTTCAGACGTAGAAATAGAAAGTCGTTAATTATGATCATCAATAGGTTGATATCGTTACACTTTTCCTCAGTGTCGAAAATGCAGTTATCCCAATGTGCTCAGCTGTTTCATAAAGAAACCTGTCGTCGTCATAATAAACTCTCGATGGTTCGTCAATCTCACAACACATATTTTCCAGGATGTTGTCCAGACGGATGGATCCGGCATAGTGACTCCTGTTACATGTTTGTAGCAACCAAGGCAACGTGGCTCAGGGCGGCTGTAGGTACAGTATGCTACCCAAAGCTACAAGAGTAGTAGAAGTTAATCTGTGAAGATGACACAACCAACTTTTTTGTTTTACGCAGTACTCAGCAATATTCCAGCTATATCACCTCAGTCTGTACAAACTGAGACTAGACCGACAGACTAGTGGTTAATAGCATGAAAACGACCCATACCGAAACACAATCAGCAGTTTCACACATTATAACCACGAAATCCTCGTTAGTGGGTGCTCTTGTAAAGTTTGGTGTACGGCGAATATTTGCCAAGGGAGCAACAATCCTCGGCCTTGTTTAACCTGGATGTTCACATATTTACTGATGTAGAATGTTATTATTGAATTGACGCAAGAGCGTTGCGGAGGCACATGCAATCCTCACAGAGATATCAATCTACTTCAGCAAATGTGTTCGGAACGTGGAGCAGTGTTGGTAGCTATTGAAACTGCGGCTGAAAATACCTTCATACGGGACTACCTACGGATGTTTGCAGGTAAATGACCTGTCCTTTATAATTAGAATTAGGTACCATTTGCAGTTCAAAGCTTAGAGATATATCTTTGGGTAATAGAAGCGTCCTACATTTACGTAAGTATTGTTCTTTAATGTATTTGCAACAAGAGATGACTATCAAGACTTACTATGCTAGGCACACAAGATATTTATAAAGTTGAACGATTTATGGTTGTGTTTGTCATGCGTTCATTCTGAAGTGTACATGTGTATCCAGGTCTTGGTGCTGATATCCCTACGTGGATCGGTGGCACAGATGCGCAGGTGGAAGGTGTATGGAGGTGGTCCCCGAGTGGGAACAGACTGACCTATGTTGACTGGGACCTGAGCGAGCCAGCTGGTTGTCCTACCTGTGGAGATTGCCTGATTATATGGCCCGGCTACAACTATCACTGGGGAGATTACCCATGTTATCATAAGAAGAGTTTCATGTGCGAAAGAAGGTAGTGCATACAAATAAATTCTGTTTCATGGGCTTTATAAGTGACTTTCTGAAAAAGCTTGTATCACACTTTCATCTGTGCCTCTGTCAATTGGGGCGGTCGGGTAGCCTAGTGGTTAAAGCGTTCGCTCGTCACGCCGAAGACCGGGTTCGATTCCCGACATGGGTACAATGTGTGAAGCCCATTTCTGGTGTCCCCCGCCGTGATATTGCTGGAATATTGCTAAAAGCGGCGTAAAACCATACTCACTCACTCACACTGTCAATTAACATGTATTGATTCTAGTGGTTTTACCTCTCGCATTACCGGAAATGTGAATCAGGTACAGAATTTTCTGAGGTAAATGATCATAACTCCATTTATGTCAACAGGGTTCCGAATGGCAACATCATTGGATAAACATAAATTGTACTCCTTGCTGTTCCACCAAGGCTATCATTATACCTATGGCTATTCGCAGACAGAAACTATGTGAAAATGATAAATGAATATGTTTAAACATAAAAAAAATATTTGTTTGTTTTTTATTATTCATAGAACTAACAACCATAGGCATAATCGACATTGCTTAATTCATCATCTACATTATGGGTATACCAGGTTTACAGCAGAAATGTCACATTGAGAACTCTCACTTTTAAGTACACAAAATGGAGAATATATTTTATTCTGTTGAGTAGAGAGATATCGCCCTCAAGGTCCAAATGTTTAGTTTGTTAACTGCCACATGGAATCATGCCTCCATTTCGAATCGTCAGCCATAGCCAGCGTCTTAAAACAGTGTGGGTTTCAGTAAATTCAAACAATCTTATATTTAATTCCGTGTTCACTTTACACCTATGCTGTCTTAATGTCGGTGAAAGGTGACAACATAATAAAAGAAGTTTCTCTGGATTGGCGGTTGGGGGCCTATCAGTAAGATCATTTGGGGCATTTGGCTTTTTTTCTGACCCTGACACTATGACATAGAAGCTGTCGTGACATGGACTGAATATTCTGTGCTGCAATTTTAAACAAAATTCAGCTAGCATTTGGTGAAAATAGTGGCAAAATATGTAGGTTAGCCCTCACTAGTGAGGAATGCCATTTAGTTTTACATGTATTCTCTATATTATGCCATTATGGTACTTAAATATGACAGTACGTTCTGCATAATAACGAGGGTAGGAAGCAGGCAGAATGACCGTGGTTTTATCTAGTGCACCGACTAAAATAGTTTTTTAAACTTTTGAACTCATGTCAGAATTTGACGCTTGTATTCATAATGGCTACACATTATTATTTTCGTAATAATGTGAAAAGCAATATTACTAAAAACACCTCGACATGAGATAGCGACGAAATGCTTCTTTACGTGCAACATCTAGATACATTAATTTGAATATGAGAAAACCAACATACGATAAAGGTTTGGCCAATAGAAACACCCATAGTGTAACCTACATGTAAATGAAAACATGGCGCCATACCGAAGCAAGATGAAAGGACGTTATTTTTGTGGTGGGCGTGTCTGACCATGCATCATAGTGATTGGGAAAAGTTCAAAGCCGCTCAGCGAGGCCAAGTTGCATATTTTGACCACCTGATCCTCACTTGTTATCCCCAGGATTAGTGTAAAGCACACGGTTGTTCGATATCTACATTATGTGTTGTTGTTATCAGTATTAACACGACGTTATATACTCGAGCTGGAATATTGCTGAGTGTGTCGTTAACAACAAAACAAACACATAGTTTGCAAAAAAACTTCTGCAAATGTTAATGTGATATTACCAGTTCAGTGTATGTGTCACAACATGTCTCCTAACATGTGAGGTATGGTTCGGCGAAGGTCATACCTTAGTGACGCCCCTTATCAGTCAAACTGACATTTGGTATTCCCGTATTGTTCAGATCTAACGGTATCTTAGATAGCTTTACATTGACATATGTGCCAATTCCCGTCGGTAACTTATTGGCCTATACAGCAGAAGGTGCGTGTTTGATAGATTTCTAAACGGGGAAGTGAGTAGTTGGATGGAGTATTTGGTTCAGCAACCTTGTAATGCTACATGAGCTAGTGGGAAGAGGTCTTGGGTGATTTTGGAAACAAAGAGGGATGAGCACGTTGACGAATCCTTTTACTTAACATGCGCTAGAAAATGGATTTGGAAGTGCCATTCAAAGTACATGTATGTGTTGCTAAATATGCCGTTTATTAACAAAAGCCTTGAATTTATTTGTTCAACATTAATTTTAATACAAGTTACACGTAGAAATTCCGTGAGAAACATATATAGGTCACATTATTCCATAAATAACACAATGTGTAACGTGACGTTTTATGTGTCACCACACCCCAATGATGTAGGTCATTGATCCTCATATCAAGCCCTTGTTTAACTGACCAAGCATCGATTATTTACAGACTACCCAGATATAAAATGGAACAATAAAGACTGCAGCCGTAATCAGAACACTTTCTGCTAGTATGTGTTTCAGCCTAGATATGAATGATATACCGAAATAGTAACACAAATGTAATAGGTGGGAGGAGAATATCCGTTGCGGCTGTTCGCGGTTCTCCCCTTCTAATTTTATCACCGATGTAGGATCGGGTGGTCAGGCTCGCTAACTTGGTTGACGCATGACATTGTATCCCGAATGCGTTGATCGATGCTCATGACACCAATCACTGGATTGTCTTGTCCAGACTCGATTATTTACAAACCGGCGTTAAATAGCTGGAATTTTGCTGAGTACGGAGTTAAACAACAATCCAACAAACAAAAATGTCAAAGTGATGCGCTGCATTATCGTTTGTTACGTGTATGTCATTCAAATGATATAATATCAAATTGTTTAAATGGTAATGTATAACCCAAACTTTTATCCCGGTATTATGCAGTTATTTTTGAAGCAGTCATGTCTGGTATAATTATAGTTTAATTAGCGTCTAGATCGCCTTATGTTAAGTTTCCGTACTATTTATTTTCATCTGTTCATGCTACCACTAAGTGTACACTTTTAAACTCAATTTGCTGGTCAACACAGAGTGCCTATGGTATGTGTATTATTTATGCTATCTGTGATTTAAGCAATTCCGAGGATATTGCAATTGGTCGGAAGTGATTTGATATGATACATCAGGGGAAACTGAAATTCGTTTGTAAACCGATGTAATTTCGATTCATATTTTCATCAAACAGAAACAAGATGACATAATATTTCAAGATATCACCACTGTCGAATATTTGTCGTAAGCTCATACTTATGTGTGATAAAGACAAACACTGTAACTTCAGAGTGAACACACACGTTGTCTACCAACCGATCATGCATGACCATGACTTTGAACTCACACCGGAGGAAAGAACTGTCTGGAATAATAGACTAGTGATGATGACGTTATTTCTGCTTTGGATGACGTTTTACACCACCAGGAGGCGGCCTTCTACACCAGTTGGATCCCGACAGTCGAGCATCGTTGGCAGAAGACCTCGGAGAGGATTATGTTGAAAAAATAATTAGCAACCAACTCCGTTTACGCAGTCCATCGAAGTTAATCTCTGAAGTTTTCAGCCACCCCTCGTAGTAAAACAGACCGATGCAAATAGACTGCAACAGTTCGCATTTATTTCTTGAATGGATCAAAGACAAACCTCTTTAAGATATTCCATGTGGGCACTTAGCAAGTTACAACAACAAGGTTAGGGATAAACCTGAACGGTACATCAACGGAATAAACCCTTGCATCACAATGCGTCATTATTCTTCACACTTTTATTTGTGTCTCTGTCAAAAACATTGATTGATTCGGGGTTTTTTACCTCTCACATTACCGGAAATATGTACACATGTACGGGATTTTCTGAGGTAAATGAACAAAACTCCATTGATGCCCACGGGGTTACAAATAGCAAAACCCTTGGATAAACGTCAATTATACATTTGGCTTTTCCATCCAAAGCTATCATTATAGTTACCTATTCGTCTACACTTGTGTTTTTGTAACACTTTGACAAGAAAGAATGGAATGAATGCTGTATTATTTAGAACACCTAGATATGAGATATCGACAAAGTACAGCTGTATGTGCACGTAGACATTAACTTACACATTAGAAAGGTAACATGCATGTGATAAAGGTTTGGTCAAGAGAACACCTGTTATGTTACATTCAATGACATCAAACTGAATTCAGATAAAGACACTATTTCGTTTGTGGATGTGTTTGTCGACTAAACAGGATGTTGGTGTTTATTTTCTTGCTACTACTTCAGACAGGAGATATTGAAGGTACAAACGTAGAATATCGTCAATAATCATCCAAATATGATTTTCATGTGTACATATACATGTATTGACGAATATTTGAGCTGTGTTTCAACCCTTCATGCACAAAATACTCTACATGTAAAACAATTACAATAAGGGTTGCGGGCTAACCCTTATTACAACCCCTAAGGTAATAAAAATACTTTTAATGTGATCAACAAATGACATTTGGGGTTGCGGGCTAACCCTTGTTTCAACTCCTTATTTCAACTCCTTATTTAAATAATACTCTTAGTGTAAACATTTTTTTACATTAAGAGTTGACATGACAGATAACATTATTTGTACATTTAGGGTTGTCATTATGAAAAAATTCTTATTGGACATTCATGTAACTTTAAATTCCCTCTTTACAACGACCACCTGGTTGCTATATGCAAGGTTTTGTCAAAGGGTTTATGACCCATGGCCCTTTTAACCGATTTCTTACAAACTTAGTGTGTTACAAATGTTATCTTAAGATACTCTACAAGGCAACCTCATTTACGTTACTATCCTAATACGGAAAGAGGGACTCTGTTTGAATGAGATGTAGTTATTGTCCGATTTCGTTCAATATGTATTGGATATTCCCCACTCCTTGTATAAGCTTCCTGCCAAGTTTGATTGAAACTTACAGGGTAGGATAAGATGAGATATTTTTTTAAGTAAATGTTGATGACATACGATGCATGCAGCGCCACGAAATGAGCTCTCCGCGGGACGTCGTACCAGGTGTTCTATAAATACTGTGTTTCGACATATTTTATGAATCAATCGTATTGGATTGTGAATAGATTTCGCATGACGGATGACGCGCGCCGTACAAAGAAGGATCGCAATACGTCAGATAAGCCTTTCGGCCATCTTCCATGTATGGAAAAAAATAAGCAAACTAGAACTGTCTTATGTGGAATCAACTACCTCCCGTAGACGTATGATAATGTTAGCGTGAACATCCGAACGTACCTCTGCAATCGCATAAGAAGACCTAATCGCAACCTCTGTTTTTCACCTGAAGAGTATATGAAATAGGGAAGGTTATTTGAAGGAGCAATCAGATGTGCAACCAGAACCTATGTGGTTAGCATAGCATGTCAATATAAGGAATTTAAACGAAATCGGACAATTTCTAAATACCGACCAATCAGATGCCTCGGTTATATTTACATGGTGCGAAAAACTATTCGGTTGAGTTCTAAAATACATTGTACCTAACTACCAAATTTGAAAGAAATTTCTATATATTGATCAATCAGCTCTGCATGCGCAGATGCCTCTTTCCGTTGTCATGGGAGCAAGGTAGTTACGTAAATAATGTCTCATTGTATAGTGTCCCTTGATACACTTTAATTTGTACCATGATTGAACACATTTGGCTAAATGACATGTTAGTAATGATCACTTAAAGAAAACCTATAAATAACAACCAGGTTGTCGTTGTTGAGGGGTTGTTGGCATATGAAAGGTGCAGTGCACATGATCCATGGCTCTACTATATGTAGTTTCTGAGAGTACGCGCACAGTTGAAGGAAGAATATATTCGATTGCGAATAATCATAAGAAATCGAGCAAAAACAATGAAAAATGTAAATATAGCAAAAAGTACGCTAGATTTCCAATCAATCTTTGTTTAAAAGAACATTGTACCATACGTGGTGATATGTACGATATTAAAACGTAATGTAAAGAATTAATTTAAATTAAGGGTTGCGGGGAGTTACTTTTAATGTAAATAATACATTAAGAGTTAACAAGTTTTGTTCATTATTCCTATAAACCTAACATTGAGCCACAAACTTCAAAATGGAATTGGGGGTGGGGGTCGCAACAATTTAACCAGTCACAAACCAAATTCGTGCATAAGAAAGAGCAATAATATCAGTTACGTGTTGGTAGAGTCAAAGGAAATCGGAATAAAAGTACAAAATATCAACTGTTAAGCCATACCAGCGTTATATCAATATCAGAGACATGATTTCATTTGAACCACACACAATAAACATTGGTAATATAATTGGTCACTATATATACTGGATATGCTTAATTCCCAGGCAACTGCTGTCCAGATGCATGGATCCGATACGGTAATTCCTGTTATATGTTTATTGGTAGCACGGAGACATGGCTGGAGGCATCCGTGAGTATCAATTTGACATCCATGAAAGTTGTACATATACACAAAATATAAAATATACTTATATGTACTCCATCAGTTTACAGATGTTTAAAATGAGAACTGTTTTGGTCAGAATGATATGCTTCGTTATCTGTTAAGCTATAACTATTTGAGCAATACAGAGAGGACAAAGTATGCATTTTATGACAAACATATATGTATCGTAAACGCACTACTTTTCTAAACATTGTATTATTGCAATAACATTGCCGCTTCACACATTCATATATTTTGGTTTTGTGAAATACAATTTTTTGGAGGTTTGAAGAAAGAAATGCAAAACAAAAGCTATGTTGCGGGAAGAAACACAGTACGATACTCTCACCAAAAGTTTATTCACATTTTCGTTTTCACCACGTTGCAGCGTTACCGTTACCGTTATAAGACATTCGTTTGTGATGATGAGGTTAAACAAATCTGTGTTCTGCCATAAACCACCCGTGAACCCTCTTGACAACATGGAGGCCTTCTGTCCTACCCACAACATGTGCTTGTGATCATGTGATCAGGAACCAGGATGTAGATTAACTATAAAAACTGCAAAAGTTTAGGCAGCTGGGTGGGTTTGGATCCTATAGCCTCAGTAGTAACAAATGGTTATATTATCGTTGCAAGTGATTTACTCATTAAACCAAGGACACTTGAGAACTTATGTTGATATTTTAAAATATTATACTTATGCTATACTTTTAATAATTTGAAACGTTAGACTAAGTGTTCTGCTCGTACGCGTACAGCTATCTTCTTTTTCAGAGTTTAACATTTTTGAAACGAACACAGAAAGACAATCTTGATTTGACATCTTGTGTAAAAGCAAGAACACCATACACTGACGGCTTTGTTTTCATTTCACTATCGGAGATGAACAGTCCACACAACCTTTCGCATTATATTCATACTCTGCACCGCAGTGGACTGCTGCTCGTGTTCCATTCCATGTCAGTTGTGTATGGTTAACTATACATCCAATATCCAACATCTTGCAATCCGTAAGTGAACTAACTGCACCAACCATGTCATGTTATTTTTGTAAATATAAGCGCACAAACCGGTTCCATAATTATAAGAAATATCTACTAAAAGAGGTGTATATTGTACGATCCCAACTATATAATTGGCATGTGTTTATGAATGATAATCAAATAGTCATGATACTAGGTGTTTACGAAAACATAAACGAATCCTGCACCACCGGTGTCATCCTTCACTAACACATGCAACAGCAACTCAGTTGTTAACCTGAAAACAAACACGGGAACATATGTTGCACATCACTGTATGTAACTCCATCAAACAATTCATTTGTCACTGATGCGTCAAATTTGTAAATGTTCTGCACATGTCTACCATTTAACCTTTTGAAAACTGCGATGAGGCATTGAATGTTGTAACCCTGATCAAGCAACTTTTAAGCAAGAGTCGTACAATTCAATAATGACATACGAAAAAAATTCAAACGGCATTTCATAGTGAACATGTTTGAAATAGGCAGGTTTGAAATGTAATCAGACAGGCAGGTTTAAGCGACATTAAACTGGGACCATTTTTGTTTTAGTAAACTGGGGCTTGTGGCTAAAACGAAAATGTGAACATTAATGTATCCAAAACATGTCGACGTAAATGATAAGAACAAATATTGCACGCCCCTGCCCCCCCCCCCCCCCCCCCCCCCCCCCCCCCCACCCTCCAATTATGTCACAATGTGGGTTGCATTATCTTGTCAGGTGTGCTGTGAAGGATTGCTTGAAATGAACCATTTTGGTGGTTACTTGTGTATCATAAATGTATATGATTGTGTATATATATTGACATCAAATGTTTTACATGTACACAATATCATCCCAGGTACACTTGTGATCAGTGTTGTATAATCTTAACTTATTTCAGCAACAATGTGTGGCGCGTGGAGCGGTACTAGCAGCTATCGAGACTGCCGAAGAAAATGCATTCATACAAGGCTATCTGAAGGTGTTTGGAGGTAATAATTAACGTGCACATGCATGAATGTACACTTTATATTTTACGTTTTACGTCTATTTTTTTTAGATGAGGCGTGACTGCAAAATCGAGTACAGTTTCTTTTGTGTTTCATTTCATTTGTAATAAATTGTTTCAACATGATACTACAGATTATGCACATGGTTGGTTTTTATTGCACACGCAGATATTGGTGCCAATATGCAGACGTGGATAGGTGGCACTGACATGGAGATAGAGGGAATATGGAAGTGGGCCCCGAGTGGAGAACGTGTGTCATACACTGACTGGGGATCCGGCGAGCCACAAGGTTGTGCAACCTGTGGAGACTGCCTGGCCATATGGCCCGGCTACAATTACAAATGGGCCGATTACCCTTGCCCCTCTCGCGAGAAGTTCATCTGCGAAAATAAGTATGATTTGATGGTGATATTCCCTTTTTTGAGTTTGTTCCGCGAGTACACTATACAATTATCAGGAATCAGTTTCTTTCTAGATTGCATTTTGACTATCATGGACTCACATATATGTTTTGTCAATTTATAATTGTCCAAGGCTACATATATCGCCAATCGATACCTTATGTCACTCTGTCAGATGCATAATATTCCTTTAAATTTCAGGATTACAGACGGAAGCCTTGTTGGATAATCAAAATGCGACAGTACATGTAACATACAGTACATAAAATGTTCTCAGATTAAAGTGTAAAACATGTCAAAACATTTTCTTTTACCTTACAGTACATTGACATCCGAACCAGCATCTTCACTCAAATGTTGTAAAGGTAAACTTAGATGTATTCTACTATACAATGCCAAACTGTTGCATAATGCTATTACAATTTCAGATATCAAACCCTCATACTCGAAACTGCAGAAGTATGCATTCAATGGGACAATGGACATTTACTGCACGATCCCTGCCTGCAGATAATTCTCCTCAGTGTCACAGCAACACGAAGTAACAATCAGTAAAAATGCCATTTGGTGAAAGTATAGAAACAGATCATATTCGCACAGGGCACATGTTCATGATATCATGAAGTTAATTGTTTAACTCCATTTTTATAAACGCAATATAAAAAGATTTAAAACATAAAATATAACGCTGAATACTTCCTCAGACAAGTTTAAGTGATATCATCAGGGAGATTCTCGTATCACCAAGGATATTCTCGAATCACGAGGGATATTCTCGTATCATCAGTAGAATCTTGTAGCATCGGGGAGATTCTCGTATCATCAGAGCAGACGCTCTACCAATAGGCCACGGAAGTGTCCCAAAGCATTATAGACATGCGTTCTACTGTCCCGTTGCGAGGTATCAAATCACGTTTACACGTCAGTCTTAACATAATACAACTGGTCCAGACTCGGTGATTTACAGACCACATATAACTGGAATATTCCTGAGTGATTGTCGTAAAAGGCGACTATATATGCTTGCTTGTCTTTAAAGGCGGCTAACAGGAGCGGGTGGTCGCTGACTTGGTTGATGCATATCATCGTACCACAATTTCATAGATTGATGCTCTTGATATCAAGCACTCGACTGTCAGTTCCAAAATCGATTATTTACAGACTGTCAATATAGTAATCCATAGTTTACTGTATTGACATATTTGCGATTTTGCGAAACTACTTCATAAAAACATGAAACGATTTGGTAAATATCTGTTTATGCTAAGTTGTCCGTTCACATGCTCTGGTAATCCTGCAATCAAGTGAACTATGCTCCACAGTTTATGAATCATGTACTCTATCTACATGATGGAAATTTACAGTTACTTATTCAAATTGCTTTTCACAATACCAACATGCACTGACACTGTAGTAACATGGTCAATAATAGTGATCAACATGACTACAAGCTGACTTCAGGCTTGTCCAAGAATGACATCAGCAAAAACTTGTAAAACAGACAATCCAAGGCTTATAAACAGCTCCACTACATGGATCCATCAACGTGGTGAAGAAAAAACCCTATCCACTGAGCCAATAAATATTTCAGGGGGCATCCTCCATTGTTGATTGGTCATTCACATTATGACTGATCATGATATCCATTCCCGACTATGTAATACTAACAGACTTTAAAATATGCTACCTGTTGTTCCCCTTCCTGGTGTTCGGCATTTAGAGGACAAAACAAGGACTTGCCGGCTCGGATGTCTGAATATTGTGTCTGATCATGAGTGGGTAGCACTATCAATACTAAACCGGACTAGTACAAGCAGCCACATGCACAGCGCTCTATAATTACAATAATTTTAAATGCGACGTTAAACGACAATTCATCTCACATAACCAATGAGTGATCTGCTTGAAAACATTAACAGCTTTCTACAAGAGCGTCATAGTATTCGGCTTGCAAGTTTAGATTGGGCAGATCTGGATAAAAGTCTCCGGTGATTATCTCCTTGATACCTTATAAAACATAAGACATAAATCTAACTACATTACACACCATGCTCATTGATCATGACTCAAGTATTTCCTTCTCTTCCAGGTTGCATGAATTACTTTTACTGGGTTAAATGGGAAAGTAAAGTACAAAAAGAAATTGTTATTTTTTTGCGAATATCAATTGTTCCATAACTCCTATTTCCGAGGGGAAAACATCTTAACACTAATAGAAAGTATTTACACCATGTATATGTCCAAGTGAAAGTGTTGAAATCACACGCTCCGTAATCGGCTTCCAAAACACACGTATTTAGGGGCGTGGCCTCAAGGTACCGGCGCAGCGGTTTGGTTGTTGCTATACATATACCTTTTCTGCTATTTCTGTTAATCCTACAAAAAAACAATATTGTATACATTGTTGCCTTTGATCTTGATATTGTGAATAATCAAAATATCAATTAACAAAATCATTAACATTCTGTAACTATACAAATCTGTATCTGTAATCTGTAAAAATAAATAAACTACAGTATTCTGTTACTAGCATCCTGTTGGGTACGAAAAACGGTGACTTTTTACTTGTCCAGCAGCTGGCCAAGGGATAATCCCCCTCACCAATTTTCGCTATACAGTAGCTCCCGATACATGCAGTCCTGTTGAATTCTGTATTTGTGAAAGTGCGCGAAATCAGAGACACAGTTTATCAGCTGTTAAGGAGTTTACTTGCGTGTATGTTTCTTCGTTAAACACTGTTTTCATGTTTTGCTTTCCCATATCATCTTTCTTGTCCTTGTCTTCCGTGACCAAAGTCCGAAAGGAAAGCGTTGTAAACGCCATGGTCCTTACTCCTACCCATTTCACTCACATGAAAACAGAACGACCTGTACATGTTATTTGTTGTCAATTTCGTCTTTTCGACGACACGATAACGGAAGTTGTAACATAGGGTGTCAGTATAGAACATAGATGTATATATTTGTTACATATACACGCACGTACAAAAAAAGGTTGTCAGTATACAACATAACTGAACATATACAATAAGGTGTCATCATAATACATAGTTGTATATATTGTTACATATACAAATAGGGTGTCAGTTTGGAACATTGCTGTATATTTTGGTACATATACACATAGGGTGTCAGTATAGAACATAGCTGTTTATATTGTTACATAAACATATAGGGTGTCAATTTAGAACATAACTGTATATGATGGTACATATACGCATCGGGTGTCAGTATAGAACATAGTTGTATATATTGTCACTTATCATCCAAAACTGGCTCTCACAGGAGATATCACTTGGATGAGATCAAGCGATATCTACACTGTAGATATCGCTGCAATGAAATTACATCACAATGCTTTGCAGACGATTGTGACATCACTGGTTACCATGACGTCACAATCAAACGACATCACTAATGGCTCTGCTACTGAAGCTGTTTTCAGTACTTTTTACACTGAAGACACTGCTAATTACTGTCTACAAATTGAAAAAGTTGAAAGAATGATGTTGGATGATAAATAAAATCTCACCCTCGTGTCTTTTGATATCAAATATATCAACACTGGTTGATAAAAGTGGCACAAATCCTCGGCAAGCCTCGGATTTTTCCCACTTTTATCAACTCGTGTTGATATATTTCATATCAAAAGACACGAGGGTGAGATTCTCTATATATACACATCGGGTGTCAGTGTAGAACATAGCTGTATATATTGTTACATACGCACATAGTGTGTCAGTACAGAACATAGTTGTATATATTGTTACATATACGCATAGGGTGTCAATTTAGAACATAGCTGTATATATTGTTACATATCCACAAAGGATGTCAATTTAGAACATAGATATACACAGTGGTACATATCCACAAAGGCTATCAGTATGGAACATACTTGTAAGTATTGTTACACATACACATAAGGTGTCAATGTAGAACGTAGATGTATATAATGGTACATATACACATCGGGTGTCACTATAGAACATAGTTGTATATATTGTTACATATACACATCGGGTGTCAATTTAGAACATAGCTGTATAAAATGGTACATATACACATCGGGTGTCAGTATAGAACATAGTTATATGTATTGTTACATATACACAAAGTGTGTCAGTATAAAACATAGCTGTTTATATTGTTACATAAAGATATAGGGTGTCAATTTAGAACATAGCTGTATATAATGGTACATATATACATCGGGTGTCAGTATAGAACATACTTGTATATTTTGTTACATATACACATAGGGTGTCAGTATGGAACATAGTTGTAATATTGTTACATATGAACATCGGGTGTCAGTATAGAACATAGCTGTATATATTGTTACACATGCACATAATGTTTCATTATAGACCATAATTGTATATATTGTTACATATACACATAGAACGTCAATTTAGAACACAGCTGTATATGTTGTTACGTATCCACAAAGGATGTCAATTCAGAAAATAGCTGTACATAATGGCACTTATACACACCGAGTGTCAGCATAGAACGTAGCTGTAACTATTGTTGCATGTACAAATGGGGTGTCAGTGTAGAACATTGCTGTACATGTGTTGTGTTTCACATTAAGAACAGTTGACACTTCAACCTTGATGATCAGTTTTGCCTAGTGTCATCTTTTCAGTATCTCTCAACGTATGTTTACAGAGTTTGGACAAATAAGGTTTCTCGTATATTTATCAATGGTGACGTTTCTTTTGCTGTTCAGTATATTATTATCATTATTATTAACGTAATATAAAAAAAAGTATTTAGCAAATTCATGTTCGATAGTGAGGCTTGTATACATAATTACTGCACATTTGTGTTTTCGTAACACTTTGATAAGAAAGAATGGAATTAAAGCTGTATTATTAAGAACACCTGGATCTGAGACAGTACTGTTGTAGGTGCAGATAGACAGCTACATTAATTTACACAAAAGAAACGAAATATGCGATAACAGTTTGGTCAATAAGAACAGCTGTTATGTTACATGCAATGACGTCACACTGAAGTAAGATAAGGACAATATTTCGTTGGTGGATGTGTTTGTCGAATTAACAGGATGTTGGTGTTTATTTTCCTGCTACTACTTCAGATAGTACAGATTGAAGGTACAAACGTAGAATATCGTCAATGTTCATCCGAATTTGATTTTTATCTGTACATTTGTAAATACACATGTATTCACGCATATTTGTAATATTTTCTGATCAGTTAGTGTGGATACGGTTTGTTATGTTACATGCATATTTTATGTACATGTAAATTACTGTTACATAGAAAGGAGCGGGTTATATTTTGTTCATTATTCATAGAGTATTAACATTTAGCCATACACTTCAAAAATGAAATTGATGCCATACTGACGAAAATAAAAGCGACAATCTCCTTCCCAAAGCCATGGGTATTCTTTGCTAAAGCAGAGTCCATTGTACAATTCCGACTGCATCATGAACATGTGTAACTCGTCTCGCTCACTCACCCGGTCACTCACTCACTCATAAGCATAAACATAAATAATACCGTGATTTAACTGGAATACTGTTCAATATGGTGATTAACCCAAATCACTCACTCATAAGCATGTGTTTGTGAAGCACTATCAAAAAGTGATGATAGCAGGTATTCGCGAAAAGGTTAGCATGCCTTTATCCTGCTCCACCGGCGGCACCCGTCATAAAAACATGTAAGTGCAGCTGAACAAATTGAAGTCAACAAAGGGAATTGGATCGGACATTATTTTGGAATGCCATCAGCATGTCTCCTATGAAACACTTCGAAAGTTTTACTGAGGCCTTCATTAGTGTAACAAACACACAACTTTTGAGCAAGATCTGTACGACGTTCTTTGAATCAAATTATCCTGAACCTCTGAAGATGGTCACCACATTTTATAGAATATAAGGATTTCTATCACAATATAAGTATAAAAGAACAACGGTTACGCCACACCAGCGTAGTATCAATATCGGAGACATGATTTAATTTGATTTGATACATACAATGAGCATAAACTAAGATGTCCATTTCCATAGAATTGTGTAGTTGTTGTTTTTTTTCCCTCTTGAATATTTTACAAGAAGCTTTCAAACATATGTTAGATTTATATTGGTCACCATAGATACCGGATACGCTTAATTCCCAGGCGATCGCTGTCCAGATGCATGGATCCGGTACGGTAATTCCTGCTACATGTTTATTGGTACCCCGGAGACATGGATGGAGGCATCTGTAAGTATATGTATGATATCCATAAAAGGTTGTAATACACAAAAAATATATAAAATATTTATGTAAATATTTATGTAATTCATCATTTTTTAAGACAAACATATATGTATCATGAACCGGAATTTTTACCTAAACATTGTACCATTACTATAATATTGCTTCCTAACATTTTCATAGATTTTGGTTTAAAGAACGTTGGAATGTGTGAAGAAGCAAATAACAAACAAAGCTAATTTCCTTTTCACGGTTTCAAATTTTTCAAGCGAAAACAATTTTAACATGACACCCTTTGTATATCTAAGAAGGAACATCACATACTTACATAATTTTCATTTTATTGGTCACGTCGCTTTATAAGTGCAGTAATCTTGAACGCGACGTAAAACCCCATTTCACCACCATTTACAGAGGTAAACATTCTTCAAATCCACCAAAGAGGACTGCCACTTAAATCCCATTCAATGTCAGCTGTAAAGGCATTGATCAGGCCTTGAAATATAAAGGAACAAAATACAAATAACATTTTTAATAACATAACGTCTGCTATATATAGTGAAAATGTTTTAAATAAGCAGGTACATGAAATCACTTATTCACGTTTGTGCGACATACATGGACCATTATTATGATGCTTCAGCAAGATGAACATTGTGGCTAACGAGAAAATGTTAACATGGAAAAGCAATTATTTATTAATAACAAACGTAATACAGCACGTCCCCTTATGGTGGTTATAGTGATAACTCATATTGTGGCTTGCATTGTCTTATCAGGTGTGCCGTCAAGGAAAACTGACATGAAACATTTTGTTGGCGACTAGTGTTACACAACTGTATATTTTTATTCATACTGAATATCAATGTTTTACATATGTACAATATCAACCCAGTGACACTGGTGGTAAATGTTTAATAATCTTGACGTTTTTCAGCAACAATGTGTGTCGATGGGAGCGGCTTTAGCAGCTATCGAGACTGTCGAAGAAAATGCATTCATAACTGGTTATCTGAAGGTGTTTGGCGGTAATACTTAAAGTGCACATGATGAATGCAAACTATATATACTCTGCACAAAACGAAACGCAAAATGAGTTAAGTCGTAAATATCTTACAGAGTGTTGTCGATGTCAATACAAAATTAATACCGAAAATGAATTGGTTATTTCTGCATATATTGGGATTGATTTATTTGGAAAGAATGAGGTACTGCAGAAATTTAATGACCAGATGGAAAACTCGCAAAAACACAACCACGTGAGTGCCTGGAGCTGAAACACATTAACATGACATGCACGTGCATCATCACTTGTTAAGCTTTGAAAATGTTGGGTTTCATTTGCATGCCATCCTAATCTTACAGCAAGACAACAGCGAAAACATGCCACCACTAACTTAATCCACACGCTTCAACGCCATCAGCCTACCGAGAATCATTTTTGCCGTAGCCAGGTTTTTCCACGAAGCACCAAGCACAATTACAAGAAAGCGGAACCGTTATCGGACATACGGAACAACAAGTGACCTTCCCGGGCCCAGATCCGGTCGACCACGTATCTCTACTAGAGCACAGGACAGACTCATACCGCTACGTCACTTACGTGAACGAACCACCTCGGCCACCTCTACAGCTACGACAATGCCAGGATCGCGTAGGATATCAGCCCTGACATTTGGGAACCGTTTACGGAGCTGAAGTCGCTAGTCGACCAGTTCGAGGTGTCATTTTGACGGACCTGCATCGTCGGCCTTGACGTCAATGGTGTCAATGTCACAGAACATGGCCGCATCTGCGATTGAGACAAGTTTGGCAGAGTGACGAGAAACGTTTTATGCTTCGCCGTGCGGATGGTAGACGTCGTGTTAACATACGTCTCGGAACGTTCTGCGAGAAGCTGCATACAGGAAGTGGACAGATTTGGTGGTGGTAGTGTGATGATGGGGGCAGCAATCTCTTAGACGTGTAGAGCAGACTTGGTACAAGTGCTGGGGAATTTAACGGCACAACGTTACACGGATGAGATTCTTCGGCCACCCGTCCTTCCCGTTATCCAACGCCCGTCCTCACACGGCAAGACTGACAACAGGAATCACAGGGGCGGTCGGGTAGCCTAGTGGTTAAAGCATTCGCTCGTCACGCCGAAGACCCGGGTTCGATTCCCGACATGGGTACAGTGTGTGAAGCCCATTTCTGGTGTCCCCCGCCGTGATATTGCTGGAATATTGATAAAAGCGGCGTAAAACCATACTCACTCACTCAGGAATCACAACATCCAGATCCCGCCATGGCCCTCCGGGTCTCAAGATAAATGTAACATGTATGGGATGCACTGGATCAACGACTGCGAGCACGTCAGCAAAAATCACAGAACAGTGTGCCACCCCAACAGTTGGCACAAGCACTGCAGTCATTTTCCAGGCCACAATTCGGGATCTGATTGCTTCCATGGGACGACGATGCCAGCCAGTTTAGGACTTTAATGGTGGCCATACAAGATATTGAGAAGAGATGACCTTCACCTTGAAAATCTACTGTAAAGTTCTATATGAGCCATATGGAACCTGGGTCAATGGCAATGATGAGTGCAAATTTTGAACAATCGATTACCATCTGCTTAATATTCATATGTGATATCAAATATTCATCTAAAATAAGTTTGCGTTTCTATTTTTGCAGAGTTTATTTTACGTTGTTATGACACTTCCCAATTATTATATCAAGGACTGACTGCAATTTCAAGTGCAATTTCCTTTGCGAAAACAGTTATGATAACTTGTTTCAACATGATAGTACATATTCTTTACACGGTTATTTTTTAATGCACACGCAGATATTGGTGCTGATATGACGACATGGATAGGTGGCAATGACATGGAGATAGAGGGAATATGGAAATGGTCCCCGAGTGGAGAACGTGTGACATACACTGACTGGGGATCCGGGGAGCCAAATGGTTGTGTAACCTGTGGAGACTGTATGATCATTTGGCCCAATTACAACTACAAATGGGGTGATCTACCGTGCCACACACAAGAAAGGTTCATCTGCGAAAAACAGTATGTTTTATTGCTGATATTACCCGTAATGAGTTTGGTGCTCAAGTAAACTATACTGTTATCATGAAGCGATGCAATCAGTTGCTTCCTCGACTGCCTTTTAAGCATCGTAAACTTCATTTATATATTACTATAATTGTTCACGGCTACAAACATTACCAATTGCAAGACTTCATTTCACTGTGTTAGATTCTTGCATAGCATTCCTTTACTTTTCAGGATTACTGACGGAGGCCTTGTTGGATAATCACCATGGTGATATATTCAACAGGCGGGACATAAAATGTTCTCATATTAAAGTGTAAAACCTGGCAAATTGATTCTTTTGAGAGACAATTGACATCCGATATAGATAAGAGACCGCATTTTCACTCAGATGTTGTAACAGTGAACCTGGATGGATTCTACTAGCTGTATGTAATCACACGGTGTCAGTATACAACGTAGCTGTATGTAATGGTACATGGGCATGTAATGGTACATGGACACACGCAGTGTCAGTATACAACGTAACTGAATATGATCGTACATGGACACACACGGTGTAAGTATCCAACGTAGCTGCATATAATGGTACATTGACACAAGCGTAGTCAGTTTTGGACACAAGGTGTCAGTATACAAAGTAGCTGTATATAATGATTGTGGACACATGGTGTCAGTATTCAACGCAGCTGCACATTATGGTACATGGACACAAAGGGCGTCAGTACACAACGTAGCTGTATATAATGGTACATGGACACACATGGTCTCAGTACACAACGCAGCTGTATATAATGGTACATGGACACACATGGTCTCAGTACACAACGCAGCTGTATATAATGGTACATGGACACACACGGTGTCAGTATACAACGTAGATGTATATGATAGTACATGGACACACGGGGTGTCAATATACAACGTAGCTGTCGGTTATGGTACATTGACACACACGGTATCAGTGTAGAACGTAGCTGTCTATAATGGTACAATGACACACACGGTGTCAGTATACAATGTAGATGTATATGATGGTACATGGTCACACACGGTGTCGGTATAAAACGTAGCTGCAAATAATGGTACATGGACACACACGGTGTCAGTATACAATGTAGATGTATATAATGGTATATGGACACACACATGGTGTCAGTATAAAACGTAGCTGCTTTTAATGGTACATGGACACACACGGTGTTAGTATAAAACGTAGCTGCATTTAATGGTACATGGACACACACGGTGTCAGTATAAAACGTAGCTGCATTCAATGGTACATGGACACACACGGTGTCAGTATACAACGTAGCTGTCTATAATGGTACATGGACACACATGGTGTCAGTATAAATCGTAGCTGCATATAATGGTACATGGACACACACACGGTGTTAGTATACAATGTAGCTGCATATAATGGTACATGGACACACACGGTGTCAGTATACAACATAGATCCATATAATGGTACATCGACACACACACGATGTCAGTATACAACATAGATGCACATAATGGTACATGGACACACACGGTGTCAGTATAAAACGTAGCTGCATATAATGGTACATGGACACACACGGTGTTAGTATACAATGTAGCTGCATATAATGGTACATGGACACACACGGTGTCAGTATACAACGTAGCTGCATATAATGGTACATGGACAGACACAGTGTCAATATACAACGTAGCTGTATATAATGGTACATGGACACACACGGTGTCAGTATACAACGTAGCTGCATATAATGGTACATGGACACACACGGTGTCAGTATAAAACGTAGCTGTATATAATGGTACATGGACACACACACGGTGTTAGTATAAAACGTAGCTGCATTTAATGGTACATGGACACACACGGTGTCAGTATACAACGTAGCTGCATATAATGGTACATGGACACACACGGTGTCAGTATAAAACGTAGCTGTATATAATGGTACATGGACACACACACGGTGTTAGTATAAAACGTAGCTGCATTTAAGGGTACATGGACACACACGGTGTCAGTATACAACGTAGCTTCATATAATGGTGCATGGACACACCCGGTGTCAGTATATAACGTAGCTGCATATAATGATACATGGACAGACACATGGTGTCAGTTTACAACGTAGATGCATATAATGGTACATGGACACACACACGATGTCAGTATACAACGTAGCTGTCTATAATGGTACATGGACAGACACAGTGTCAATATACAACGTAGCTGTATATAATGGTACATGGACACACACGGTGTCAGTATAAAACGTAGCTGCATATAATGGTACATGGACACACACGGTGTCAGTATAAAACGTAGCTGCATTTAATGGTACATGGACACACACGGTGTCAGTATACAACGTAGCTGCATATAATGGTGCATGGACACACCCGGTGTCAGTATATAACGTAGCTGCATATAATGATACATGGACAGACACATGGTGTCAGTTTACAACGTAGATGCATATAATGGTACATGGACACACACACGATGTCAGTATACAACGTAGCTGTCTATAATGGTACATGGATACACACGGTGTCAGTATAAAACGTAGCTGCATATAATGGTACATGGACACACACGGTGTCAGTATAAAACGTAGCTGCATATAATCGTACATGGACACACACGCTGTCAGTATACAACTTATCTGCGTATAATGGTACATGGACACACACGGTGTCAGTATAAAACGTAGCTGCATTTAATGGTACATGGACACACACGGTGTCAGTATACAACTTATCTGCGTATAATGGTACATGGACACACACGGTGTCAGTATAAAACGTAGCTGTATATAATGGTACATGGACACACACGGTGTCAGTATAAAACGTAGCTGCATTTAATGGTACATGGACACACGCGGTGTCAGTATACAACTTATCTGCGTATTATGGTACATGGACACACACGGTGTCAGTATAAAACGTAGCTGCTTTTAATGGTACATGGACACACACCGTGTCAGTATACAACGTAGCTGTCTATAATGGTAAATGGACACACACGGTGTCAGTATAAAACGTAGCTGCATATAATGGTACATGGACAGACACGGTGTCAATATAGATGCATATACATGGACACACATGGTGTCAGTATAAAACATATATGTATATATCGGTACATGTACACACAGGTTGTTAGTATATACAGCACAGCTGTTTAAATTGGTAATTATACACAAAGGTTGCCAGTATACAATGGAGCTGTATTTAATGTAGGGAACACGCAGGATGTTAGTAACTATAGAAATCATCTCTAAATAGCGGTACATGTACAGTGTGTCCGAAAACAGTGTAACTGCATACAGTGATGTATTTACAGTACAGCACATTGTAGTATAAATCGATATGTATACCCACCTGATGTAACCTAGTGCAGAAAATTCATAGTTGGATATATTCGTACATGTCCGCACAGGCTGTCAATATACATCGTAGTCATATATATTGGTACGTGTACACATAGTGTCTCAGTGTCCAGGTATATATAGTGATACATGTACGCACACTGGGTGTTAGTATGAAAATGATAGTTGTATATATTGATACATGTACACACAGTGTGTCGTATACAACGTAGCTATGAATAGTGGTACACACGCAGGTTGTCAGCTAAGAACCTAGCAGTATATATTGGTACATGTACATCCAGGATGTCCGTATACAACGTAGTTATATATAGCGGTAAATGTGCATCCGCAGGTTGTCAACATGTGACATAGCTGTATATATATACGTGGACACTTGCGGGGTCAGAAAAGAACATAGGAGGATGAGCATGCGCCAGAATAGTATTTCGCTGAATGAGTACTCGGTCAAAATCGTCTAACACCTGTATAATTATCAAATGATGTAGGGCAAAAATAACACACACAAAGATGTAATGCTTATTCTACCCTAATCTATAACACGTCATATATTGGTTTTGAAGAAACACAAAGGTGTAACTACAAATATCCAACGAAATTCAACTTTGTTCAATAAAATATAAGAGGAACTTAATGACAGACACAAGACATTTTTATTATGATTAACACAAATACTGTAAAACGTGAAATTAATGCGTCTCCAAAATAATGCGACCGCTGGCCCCTAGCCAAAAATGCGACTCAATATGAATGCGACACCCCCTCCTCTCAAGCATCATTGGATTTATATCTGAACAAAATGTCCTCTGTCAGGTTTACAGGAGAATCCTCACCTCAATCCAACCTTACATTAATACAATCACACACCAAATAGCACCGCTTAATGGTGCTGAGTAAAGTACTACAGCTAAAACAATGCGTGCGCGCTGGCTCGTGTCGGCCTTTGATGCAGTCGCGAAGAGCAAGGACACCGTGTTGGGTGGCGTTTGTTTGGTCATGCAGGTGTGATCAGTGATGACATTAGTGAGTAGAGCGCTTGTCTTGACCCAAGCAGTGACAATTCACAGGACGTAATTCGTGTTTGAATGACCATTGTTTATATACATGTACTTGTTACAAGTGCTGCTCAATAAACATTGATGTGGAATACATAGTTTTTTTGTTTTCAGCGTATGTCTAAGTTGGTATTTCTGCTATCCAAAATGTCTTATCGTTGATATAAATGCGATGTTTAATAATGCGAGCAAAGACCACTCGCATTTTTCGCATTTAATTCACGCTCGCGTTAATTTCACGTTTTACAGTAGTTATACAACCGTATGATAAAGCCGGCGTACTTGAGAGCACCTACCGTTGAATATACATAACCAGTCAAGCGTGGTGATTGGTAAAAACAATTAGGGTAGGGATGAGGGTGGGGGTTATGGTGGGGTCACCTCACTTAATATAGTGGGTGGGCCACTCGGGCATAATCGCAACATAAGATGCACTTTACATGCGCACGCTCACCAAGGTAACATGTCTGCGGTTTCTAAAATACTATCTTTCCACAAATATTGAATGTTTACTGAAATAAGAAATTGCCAGAATACAATTTCGAATTGACAGAAACCCTAAACATTGATTTCTAATTAACTTCTTTGAGAGACAATTAGAAATTGGATAACTAAGTAAAGATAAGATGTATGGATGAACAAGTTATTTGTTACAATTAGGAGCAACGTTTCGGTGGAGGTTCTAACACTTACTTGATAGCGATTTTAGAACCTACACCGAAACGGCGCTCTTAATTGTAATAAAGGTGTTGTTCGTCAATACATCTTATCCTTACTTGATTCCTAAGTATTTGAAGCAGTGTGTCAATAATTCACTGCCACTAACTAGTATCTCACAGAGTTGTATCTTTGTCGATATTCATATTTTCTCT